CAATACAAAGAAACATACGAGCCGCGAAAAGCCGATGGTAGATCTGGGACTATGAAAGGAAAGTAAGGGCAGAAGACTCACAAAAAGGAACATTCCTACCTTCCTTATAACTCAAAAACTACGGCAAACACTGAGGAAATGGAATATTCGGGTGGCTAAGACGGATAAACAGCACTCTTCACAAGTCTACCGACCCAACATAAGAGGGTGAACAAATTGGACTTCTCAGTTTACTGCATAGCATACGGTGCCTGCGAACAGAAATATATTGCCGAAGCAGATAGAAAAATCTGCATACGAATCAAAGAAAATCAAAGGCTCTGCAGGAAAATGGATATTGAAGGATCAGAATTAGCGGAACACATCACACACGCCTATTTAAACGGAATGAAAGGTACTCCAACATCAATATATTAAAGGATTCTTCGAAACCCAGTTTTTTTAACATAAAATAAGCCAGAATTTCTACAAACGAGAAAATAGACGATATTCTCTATCGAGGATAGAGGAACGATTTAAGCTATCAGAATAACAGGTTTTAATTTATCTTAAATGGCGTATAAAACTTGCGAATGTGAGGTTTCTATGTCTATTGACTAATGTAAGAGGCAAAAAGCAATACAACTTTGCTTGGTTGAATCTAGAGCATAAAGAGAACTATACTGATCTCTCTTTTGCTCAGTCGATTTGAAGATTATGATTTTTAAAGCTAGAAGAGAGTGCAACAGGTTTACAAGCGTATATTTAGATAAAATAAGTGCAGCTAGTTAGGACACAAGTAAGCCTGGTGAACAAACTCCTGTCCAACATTAAGGCCCTTAATTAATCTGGGTTTGGATGTATTGCAAAAAGTAATAATTTATGGGAGTTAATTTGGATTAAAAGTGGCTATAGAGTACGAGGAATTGCGTGACTTAATGTCACGTATAAATGAGAGGAGAAATGTCACCTGTTCTTTGGTCTGACCATTCGACTTGCCAGACTCCCTAGTTAACTCAAATCTTGAAAGAAGTTCTCGAAGGCCAGAGGCAGCTCCGTGTCGCGTTTCCCATCGCGTTGCCCAAAGATCAGCCAGCAGGTCTGAGCATATGGAATCCAATGGCCAGACAGAGCTCGTGGAGGAGTTGGAGGTCCCAACGTCCTTGCTCGACTTCGATTCACCAGTTGTAGTTGTAAAAGAATCAGTGGATGGAGTTTTAGTTTCCAACGGGGTCGCAGTTAGCACAACTGACGAGGGATTATCAAGCTGCTCCAAGCTAACGGGCGAAGAAGAGAAGTCAGTGAGGTTGGCGGGCTTACTCGTATGTGGCAAAATAAAAATAACGACAATAATTTTGGTAGAGATGCACTAAAGTGCAGCTACATAGATTAAACAAATTTAAGATGGTTGAATGAAGAAGGAATCCTGCATTTGACAAGGTATGGATAATTTTTTGAGTGCAGCAATCATCGCCCAACAATAAATAAGAATATACCAGGCGCTGACAGACAAATATTAAAATTAAAATCCACATTATTGATATTAAGATAAGGACATGTATAAAAACTGATTTTCGAAGAAGCTCTTAATATAATGATATTGGAATACTCTTCATTTCGCTTGAAGAGATGAGTGGAAGGGAGTCGTG